CAGGATAGAGCAGGGTTTAGGGCTGTTGTGCATAGGGTCGTTATGAGTCGCAAACGACTCGACGGCACATAACAACAACCATATGATCAAAATCTGATGGTAATTAAGGAAGAAGTTCAAGCTGCTCTAAAGGCATTGGCAAAATATAAGTCTCCAGAAATCTGTGGGATATCAACTAACATATCGATGGCAGACACAGCCCTTGACATGTTCACCAGTCTATGCCAGGAAATTTGCCTGGCCAACTGACTGGAAGAGATCCATATTTGTTCCCATTCCCAATAAAGATGATCCAACAGAATGTGTTAATTATCAAATAATATCAGAAATAGCATGTGCAAGCAAAATACTGCTGAAGATTATTCTAAAACACCTAGAAAACTGCTTAACGTTCAAGCTGCATTTAGAAGAGACTATGGCACCAGGGTATCATTACTGCTGTCAGATGCATCCTGGCTGAAAGCAAAAGATACCAGAAGAATGTTTATTTATGCTTTATTGACTATGCAAAGGCAACTGACAGTGTGGATGATAACAAATTATGGCTAACATTGAGAAGAACTGGAATCCCAGAACATTTAATTGTACTTCTTTAAAACCTATACCTACCCCCCCCCAAAATAACCAAACAAACAAAACCAAAAACCTATACCTAGTAGACCAAAAGGCTATTGTGCAAATAAAGCAAGAAAACTTTACTTCTCTCAAATTATCTGGCATGTTGCTAGAAGGGGTTATATCTTGGAAAGGGACATCATGCTTGGAAAGGTGAAGACTCAGTGAAAAAGGAGACCCTCAATGAGGTGGATTGACACTGTTGCAAAGGGCTCAAGTATGACAAAGATGATACGGATAGGACAGGACAGGATAGGACAGGTTCCAGATCTGTTGCTCATAGGATTGCTGTGAGTTGTACTCAACTTGACAGCACATAACAACAACAATAGCACAAGTAACATTGATGCCAAAATTTTAATTGTGGTACATAATCAAGTTCAGTCAGCCTGGTTTCTCTTTATCACGTAAAGGATTTAGCAAATAGAGATCAGGTTAGTAGTCAAAGAACATTTTATTACAAAATTTTTTTACCAGAGCTAAGGGTAAAAAATGAATGGCCCTGGTGTTCTGGGAATCCTTTTATCAGGAAAAACATGTCCATATACCCATGCAGGTGTCTTTATGTATATACTTGCTGAAATTTTTCATACTCCAAGCTCACAGATGAAGTAGACACAACTCTGCCCTCAGTGGGTGTATGTATGCTATTAGATGCCACTGGGTTGAGTACAACTCATAGTTACCCTATGAACAGCAGATCTGAATCCTGTCCTGTCCCATGTGTGCCATCCTTTTCATCTCTGACATACTGCTTTGCCATCTTTGCCACTATAAAGCACTCTAGCTATAATTACATGGATGAGAACTGGCTGTTAGTGATTGAATTTTTGTCCCCCCAAAATATGTGTTGTAAATTTTAACCTTCATTGGAAAATGAAGAAAGAGAAAGAGCAAGAATCAATGCCTTTAAATTGTGTTTGCAAATGAGTATTGGATATACTACAGAGAGCCAGTAAGTACAAACAAATCTATGTTGAAGGAAGTACAACCAGAGTGTTCCTTAAAGGCATAGATAGTGGGTATATTTTCAGAAGGAATCAGTCCTTGGAGAGAGATATCATACTAGGAAAGATCCGTGAGAGAGACGAAGATTCAATGAAATGAGTTGACTCAGTGTCTGCAACAAAGGGCTTGAGCATGATAGAAATTATTCTGGTGCACGACAGGGCCAAGTTCAGATCTGTTTTTCACAGAGTTGTATGAGTCCTCATTCAAGTAAAGGCATCTAACAACAGCATACTTGTGGAGAAAGTTCTATTTGAAATGGCTTTTCTTCGTTATGTTAATGAGAAATATTGGCGTAGAGTATATCTCAATTCAGTCTCTTTTGAGGTTTGAAATAAGTTAAACTAGTAAGAAAAGAGAAATGAGGGGGTAAATAGATGCATCAAAGAATCTTCCTCCAGTGCCAAGAGAACTTTTCCTTAGTGTCAAAGCCTTGAATTCCAACGTCTAACCTCCTAAACTGTAACTGTGAGAAAGTAATTTTCTGTATGTTAAAGTCACCTACTTATGGTATGTCTTTTATAGCAGCACTTGATAACTGAGACATGTTAGCTGGCAGAGCCAGAAATGAAACTCAGCTCTGCCTTTTTACTTCTTCACATTACTCACATTACCCCTAGGTCTGTGCTCAGTAGTGTGTGTGCCTTTCTCTTTGAATGTGTTGTGTGTGTTGGGAGGCATGTGTGGTATGTGCTTATGTATCTATGCATCATGGAGCATGTGCATACCTATTTGTGTGGATTATGTACTTATGCTCACCAATGTTTACTCTATGGGTGGGCATGTATGGGCTTCTGGACTTTGATTTCACATGTTTATGTGTGAGAGCATTGCACGTACATTCACATGCATGCACACTGTGTTCTTGGATATGTGAGAAGGTGTTTGTTATTGGGGGAGTCACTTATAAGCTTGTGAGGTTATGTATAAATTACATGTCTTTACACAGCATTGTATGTGCGTCTGAATTTATATTGGTTTTCTACCACCTAGGTGTCCCTGGTGGTGAACGTGGCCAGTGAGTGTGGCTTCACGGACCAGCATTACCGAGAACTGCAGCAGTTACAGCGGGATCTGGGTCCCCACCACTTCAATGTGCTTGCCTTCCCCTGCAACCAGTTTGGCCAACAGGAGCCTGATAGCAACAAAGAGATTGAGAGCTTTGCTCGCCGAACCTACAGTGTCTCTTTTCCCATGTTTAGCAAGGTCGCAGTCACTGGCTCTGGTGCCCACCCTGCCTTCAAGTATCTGACCGGTGAGTCCTGGTGTCTCATCCCACACCTTCCCTCAGCTGCCTCAGGCCCTGGCTCCTTGCACAGCAGAAGTCACTGACTGGCTCAGGTGATCTGAAGCCTCTTCCTTTGGTGGGATGGTATGCTACTTCAGCAGTAGGCTTTGAGGAGGCTGGGGCAAGCATAACTGAGGTGGTGTTCAGGTACTCCTTCCTAAGAATATCTCTATCTCTGCGGCCTTGCAAGTCTCTCGTAGACACTCTTTTTCAGGGTGGCTAAGAGAGGGGGTTTATTTTATTGTGTTTTAAGTGAAAGTTTATACAGATAATTAGTTTCCCTTTGAACAATTAAGAAGCAATCTTCTCCCACAGCATTGATTACTGTCCTGCATGTGTCAGCATTCTTTCTACATCCACTCCACCTTGCTCATGTCCATCCCTCCAGTTTCCCTATCCCTCCTTGTCTTTCCCTCTTTGCTTTTGTGTAAATGTTGCCCATTCGGCTTCTTAGAGTTGATTGTTCTAAGATGTACATTCTTCAAAGGTGTTTTTATTTTCATGTTGTTGTTATTCTGTGCCCTCAACTCAGAACTGACTCATCACTGACTCTCCAGGGCATTCGCAGAGGCTGTAAATGATGCGTGAGGTGATTGCCCATTTTCCTTCTACAGAGCAGCTGGTGGATTCAAACCACTTGCCTTTGGGTTGACAGCACAGCTCCTCACCAGAGCTACCTTTTATTTTATAGGCCAATCTATTTTTTGACTGAAAAGTTATCTCCAGGAGTGGCTTTAGTTTCAGGTTAAAAGGGTGGTAATCTTGGTGATTCCTCCAGTCTTTTATAAAATAAGTCTGGGTTTTGAAGGATTTTAAATTTTAATTTTGTTTTATATTTCCCTCACGTTTGAACAGTAACCTTCTAATGTGTCCCCAGTCAGAGTATTCAGTCATGGTAACTGGGCATCCTCTAGTTCTTCAGGTCTCAGATCAGGGAAGGTTGTGGTTTGTGGTTTCCATTTTGGCTGTAGAAATTGCTTCCTTGAGATGTTGGAGTTTTTTTCACTCTCTTTTGTTCTAGATAGAAAGAGACTAAAAATGGTCTTAGGTGACCAATAATAAGTCTTAGATCTTAGGTTGGATGCCTTCTACACTACTATGTAAAACATAATTTTTATTAACCACATTATATGGCAGGGGAGCTCTAGTGGCCTACTGGTAAGAAGCTGTGCTGTAGTCCTAAAAGCACATGGCCCGAATCCACTAGCTGCTCTGCAGGAGAAGGATGAACAGTCTCCTCCCAGTCGATTAACTGCCCTTGAAAACCTGCTGGAGGGTCAGCTATGGATTGGTATTTGAAGGTACACAATAACATTATATACAATTAACCTAGACGCCTCCTGAGATTATTGTCCTTAGCCTTCAAACCCATTAACTCACAGTAACCTGTGAGGTTTCTGTGTATGTCTAAGCAGTTTCTTTAACACTACCTCCTATATATTATATATATATGAATATATATGCAGCAATACAAATATGATTGGATTTGGCCTCATATTTAAAAAGGCATGTGGTCTCCAGTTTGGAGTTGGAATCCAGATTGGGAAAATAAATGAGTGGAGCAGCAGGATCCTACAAAGGTGTGTTTTCTGGTTTTGGTTGAGGCTTTGGTGTGTAATGTTTGCTTGCATTTGGGGGTGAACTGATTGGATTTAGCCTCATATTTAAAAAGGCATTAAAAGTTTTAATAGAAAAAAAGTTTTAATTGTTTTTGGTCAAACATTCTTCTAAGTGGTATAGCACTGGTCTGTCAATTTGCTGTACAGAGGTAACTCTGTATTTGCTGTGATGGTAAACTCTGCGACACTGATGTGTCAAATGCGATAATGGTTACCCATGTTGGGCGATGTTTGGTAGAGCTTCCAGATTAAAAGAGGCTTGGAAGCAGGAGTGGTATCCACTTCCCAAATAGCTTGCCTCAGGAAAGTCTATGAACTTAGAGAAACGATGAAATTTATCATTCATAGGGTTGCTATGAGTTGTCTATGACTCAATGGTACTTAACAACAATAACAACAATAATACAAATATGCAAATATAGATGCCTACAACTGTATCCATATATATACTTCCTCTCATAAGCCCTCCCTTTCCTATATGGTATACAGCATATATAAATAGATAATATGTGTAAATACATACAATGGAATACTCTACAGAGGAAAAAATAATGATGAGTTCATGAAACCCAACATGGATGAATTTCAAGGATATCATACTGAATTAAATAGCTGTACAGCATATATAAACACTTAAAATTTTTTGGTTCTTATTACTATTGTTAGGAGCCCTAGTTAGAGAGCTCAGCTGCTGACTGAAAGAAAGGTCAGTGGTTTGAATCCAACAGAACCTGATCTTTTTCCTCTTAGAGAAAAGATGTGGCAGTCTACTTCTGTAAAGATTATAGCTTGGAAGCCCTACCTACAGGGCACTTCTATTGTGTCTTACAAGGTTGCTATTAAACAGAATTGACTTAATAACAATGGATTTGGATTGTGTGTGTGTGTGTGTGTGTGTGTGTGTGTGTGTGTAGTGTTTATTACTGTTGCTGCAGAATCATGTTATATCATCGACCATGCTGTTGTTGTTATTGAAGACTATCAAGTTGGATCTGACCCATAGCTGACCCTCTAGCAGGTTTTTAGAGGCAGTAAACACACACAAGTGTCCGTTATTCATGCACATCTCTCAGTGTCTTCATTTACCTTTTCCATGTACTAACTTCTCTTAAATTTTATATTACCTTTCTCTTTGTCAACACTGACAGTATCTGCTCTCTAGTAAAGGAGCTGAGGCTGTAGTCAGTTTAAATGCTGCACTTAACAGTGAAGTCATGGGGAGCTCTGGTGGCCTAGTGGCAAGGAGCTGCAACTACAATCCCAGAGGCGAACAGTTCAAATCCACCAGATGCTCTGCCGGGGAAGGAGGGACAATCTCCTCCTGTACCAGTCAGATCTGATTTGACGGTACACGCACACAAAAATAATAAAATAAAAATTAAAACAAAAAAAAAACAAACAGTGGAGTCAGGTCAGCAGTTCGGACCCATAGGAGAAAATGAGCCGTTTGCTCTCATAAAGATTTATAGCCTCAGAAAGCAAATGAAGGCTGTTATGAGTCAGAATTGACAGTAGTGGGCTTGAGTTCTTTTGCTTTACTATCTGTAAGTGATTCTCTCCCACTTCCATCCCTAGTAATTATTACAGAAAGTTAACTTTCTGTGTATAAATCAGTTCTTGACTTTTATAAAAGTGATATCATACAATTTTTGTACTTTTGTGATTGCCTTAACAACAACATAGAGAGAGCTCTGTTGGTCTAGTGGACAGAAAGTTATGCTACCAAGCCCAAGGTGGGTGATTTAAATTTGCGGCCCTCAGGCCTGGTTCAAATTGTTTTTGTCAAACATTCTTTTAGGTCATATAGCACTGGTCTGTGCATTGCTGTACAGTGGTAACTCGTGGTTGCTGTGATGCTAAACACTGTGACACTGATGTGCCAAATGTGATAATGGTTACCCATGGTGGACAGTGTTTGGTGGCACTTCCTGATTAAAACAAGCTTGGAGGCAGGAGTGGCATCCACAGTGCTCAGGTCTTTCGTTCATAGGGTCGCTATGAGTCATCTACGACTCAGTAGCACCTAACAACAACAACATGATGTGCTTGAGATTCATCCATGTTAGGTTTTATGAACACATCATTCTTCTTTTCCTCTGTATAGTATCCCATTGTGTGTATTTACACATATTTTGTTTATTTATTTATCTTTTCATGGGCAGTTAGGCTGTTTCCATCTTTTTGGCTATTGTGGGTTAATAATGCTGCAGTGAACAGGGGTATGCATGTTTATGAATGACACTGTTCTTATTTCTGTAGGAGATGTACATACCAGTAGGGTTGCTGAATCATATGATATTCCTATCCCTAGCTTTCTGAGGAAAGGCCATATGGTTCCATAGTGGTTGAACCATTTTACAAGAGTTCCAGCCTCACCAGCATTTATTAATGTTTGGGGGTTTTTGATCCATGCTAAGTTTGCAAAAGTGAGATGGTATCTCATTGTAGTTTTGATATGTATCTCACTAATGGCTAGTGATTACAAGCAACTCTTCATATGTTGATTAGCTTCTTCAACTATCTATCTTCTTTTATGAAGTGTCTGTTATATCTGTTTTAGTTATATAGTACAGCTATAACAAATACTGTAAGTAGATGACTTTAACAAATACATGCATTCTTTCAAAGTTTAGGAGGCTAGATATCTGAATTAAGGGTGCTGGCTCTAAGGCAAGGCTTTCTATCTTTGTCAGCAATTGAAGATCTGTGTCTCCTGTCAATATCTGTAGGCCAAGCATTTCTTGAGACCCCATGTCTTAGCTTTCCTAGATCTCAAGGAGGGTTCTTGTGCAGGCAAGGACTTGTGTATAAAGGATGTGCTCTACTCCTAGCTCATATATATATATATTTTTTTTTAAATTATTAGTCTTGAAGTCCCTCTTTCTGTTTGCTTCTATCATATTTTATCACTTGTAAGAGAAAAGGTGTTATAGTCCATGCTATGAGGAAATTCCCCTTACACTGATTCAGAACTGTGATAAGATTGACAATGTTGCATCCCAGCCTTAATCTTTGCACAAAATTTGGATCATCATGAGAAATCATTAGATAGCTGACACATTACATTCAAAACACTGAGAATTGAGGAGTCTCGTGGCATAGTCCACAGTTTGTTGCATTGCTAACCATAACACTGAAAATTATGGCCCAGGCAAGTAAATTAATGTTTTAGGGGTTGTTGTTGTTATTGTTGTTGTTCTTGTTGTTGTTATGTAGCCTCGAGTCACTTGTGACTCATAGCGACTTTATGTGCAACAGCCCTGTACCCTGCTCTATCCTGTGCCAATATTATTGTCTCTCTCTGACACACCTACCCCTATTACTCCAGCCACTGAATTAATCCATCTCATCGATGGTCTTCCTTTCTTTTTCTGTCCCTCCACCCTCCCAAGCATGACATTCCTATTCAAGGACTTGTTCCTCCTTGCAATATGCCCAGAGTATGTCAGATGAAGATTCAGAATCCTTGCCTCCAAGGAGCAGCCTAGTTTCACAGATCAATCTGTTCATTCTCCTAACTATACATGATATATTCAATACTCTTCTCCAGCACCACAGCTCAAAGGCACAAATTCTCCTCCTCTCATCCCTAGTCATTGTCCAGCTTTCAGACCCACAGCAAGTAATTGCAAAGACCATGGCCTGAACCAGTAGCACCTTAGTCTCCAGACTGACATCATTGCTCTTCAGTATTTTTGGAGAGGTCTCTGACAGCAGACTTTCCCAATGTAATTCATCTTTTAATTTCCTGGCTGTTGACTATGGAGTTGATTGTGGAGCCAAGCAAACTAAAGCTATTAACACTCTCAATCTCTTCATCATCTATCATGATGCTGCCAATCGGCCCAGTGTTGAGAATCTTTGTTTTCTTGATGATGAGCTTTAATCCGTGTTTAAGGCTACAGTCCTTGACCTCCTGCAACAAGCACTTCAGATCCTCCTCAGTTTCAGCAGGCAGGCTTGGGTCATATGTGTAATGCATATTTTTGATGAGTCTTCCTCCAATCTTGATGCCACACTTCTCCTCATACAGCCCAGCCTCCCGGATAATGTGTTCTGCAAATAGATTGAAAAGGTATAGCGATAGGACACATCCCTGGCGTACATTCTTCCCAATTTTGAACTGTGCAGTTTCCTTGCTCTGTTCTGATAACTGTCTCTTGGTCCAAGTAAAGAATTTTTTTTACTTTTTTTTAATTTAATTTTTTAAAATAATTTTAATGAACATTTACAGAGAATTTGGATTTCCATTCATTCATTGCTGCACTTCTCTCCCCGCCCAGCCCTCTCCCCCGCCCACCCAGTTCAAGTAAAAGATTTTTAAGGATTCACAGTTAAATCTATAACATTGCACCCTTTGGCTTCCCCTAAAGTTCATGTCCTTGCTACATGCAAAACACTTTCACCCATTTTATCATCCTAAAGATTCTGAAGTCCAAATTATAATCTGGCATCATGTAATATTTGTCCTTTTGTGACCGGGATATTTCACTCAGCATAATGTTCTCCAGAGTCAACCATTTTGAATAATATTTCTGCACTGAAACAGAGGAGGGAGAAAACTGTTTAAAAGAGATATATGACTAGGTACTTCTGTCATCACAGGAGTCTAGAGCAAGGGCTACATGGTGGAGGGGACCTGGGGGAGGGTTTGTAAGACAATGAAAGAATCCTTTCTTTTACTTTTCCATAATTTTTGACTCATGTACTTATAACTTGTTAGTCAAATTTGTGTCTTCTAGGTTGCAACACCCCCATGATACATCTTCAAGGATATGAACATGTACGGCCAAGCACAATCAATAAGAGTGCATCTAAATTCCAAAATCAATCTCCATAATAGTCTATGTGTTTCCTACTGCCAAAGGGGCCCTTTAGAGTAGTGAGAGAAGATCTTCACCCTGAAACCCACAGCGTCCCTTTTCAGCAGGAAGTAGCTAAGAGAATACGCCATCCCCTTTTACTTATGAATCAGGGTGAAGTCTCTCTCAGGGAGGAGTGATAGGGAATGGCAAAGGACACACCGACAAAGGAGATTAATCAGAACTGACTTTGACAAGCACTGTGGCAATTGGACAATTAAAACAGACATTCGGATGGCGGGGAAGAAGAACAAACTGGGGAGGAGGGTGGAGAGAATGGTGTGGCAATGAAGGAGTGAAAGCCCAGAATTCCTGTGAATGTTCATTGAAACAAATAAAATTTAATAATAAAAAAAACCAAAAAAAACAAATTATAATCTGGGCAAAATTTTTCTTCATCTGTAAATTTAGAAATTATCTGTTTCTAAAGTAGGGTGGTGGAACATGTGCAATGTATATATTTCCATTACAAATGGGGGAGTATATGGAAGGAAAGAAATAATGGGCACTAAGCAAGTAAATTAGGAGCCCTGATAGCTTAGTGGTAAGGAGTAGCATTTCCAACCCAAAGACACATTATTTTCATTCACCAGCTGCCCATGGGAGAAAAATGGGCAATTGCCTCTGAAAACCTGCTGGAGGATCAGCTATGAGTTGATTTCCACTCAGTGGTACCCAATAATAAGAAGAAAGAGCAAGTAAATTACTCAGCAGAATAATTTACATTAGCTCTCAAGGCCTGAAAAGAATCATCTATTCTCTGAAACTATCTATATAATGGCCCTGTCTTCCAGATTCTGGACGTTGGCTGTGTTCTATGGATTCAGGGTGCAAGCCTCTCAGCCTGGGCTTCACCTTAGACTTCCAGGTACACTGGGACAGCAGCTCTTCTTCTCAACTTTTAGGTAGTCCCAAAGGTACCTAGCTCTTTAATTCTGTGGGCCAGAAGACCTAACTCTGAGGACAAGAACCCAGTGACACCCTATTCTACCAGGACGTGTCCTCCTTGAGGGTATTCAGCACTCTTACTCCCAAAAGACAAGTGGCTCCAACACCATCTGGTGTAAGCCTTCATTTCTACAATGTTTTCCTGCTACCATTTGCCTACTGTTGTTTCTCATAATCTGTACCATCTCCAGTATTAAAATTATCCTCCTTTTCCTTTGATCCTTCACTAGAACTGCCTTTGATATCCAGTCAAGGCTTTTAGTGTTTTGCACCTTAAAATTCTTCCAGTTTTTACTCACTATCCATTTCTAAAACGATTTCTAAAAACAAAAAGCAACAAACGTACTTCTATATATTAGGAAGCTGTAGAGCAGGAGCCCCTCTCTTGGTACCAAATTTTGTTTTAGTTATCTAGTGCTGTATAGCAGAAATACCTAAAATGGATAGTTTTAATGGATAGAAATTTGTTCTTTCAGAGTTTAGGAGGCTAGTAGTCTGAATTCGGGGTGCTGGCTCTTTGGGTAGGCATATCTTGTTGTCAGTTCTAGAAGATTGTCTTTGACTTCTTTCAACAGCTGTGGACCAGGCATTCCTTGAGATATGTCTTGGCCTTCCCTTGTGTCAGTGAGGCTCCAAGTGTAGAAACTTGGGTCTAAGGGATAAATTCTATTCCTAAGTCTTCAGTATTGGTGGTATTGAGGTCCTCCTCTCCCTGCTTCCTTCTGTTTTATTTCTTGTAAGATAAAAGATATTACAGGCTACACTGCAAGAAAATTCCTCTTACACTAGATTAGGGTTGTGATGAATTTAAAGGTATTGCATCTCACCTAAGGGTGAGATTTCCTTTAAAAACTGATCGGTTTATTAGATTCTGGAAGATCATTATATCCAAAATATTGGGAATCCTAGCCCAGCAAAAAACAAAACCAAACAAAAACCATATTGTAGGGGGGACACAATTCAATCTAAGAAAATGTCTATATAGTTTAGAAATTGGATGCTGTCAAGGAAATCATTGTCAAGAATTTTTTCCTAACCTGTAGGTCTCTTTTTACTCATTTGGTAGTCTTTTAATGAACATAATTATTTAATTTTTATGTTGTCCCAGTTATTTAGTTTATCTTTTGTTATTCGTACATTGTTCCTTTAGCCTTTCATTCTGACTTCCCTAGGATCTTATTTTCACATGCAACAACTCCTAGAGGGTCCTCAGACTTTAGTCAGTATGAATGAGTTTAGTTTACTAATATAGGAGAAACCAAGATACAAACAGGACACACCAGATAAAGAAGGCTAACCTAGAAGGCTGACCAATATCTTCTATCCTCAGTCAGAGGCAAAATCTGTAGATCATAGAAGGGAACCACTGAAACTAAAATATCAAATTTAAATGTTTCAGAAATAGGTTTCTTCTTCTGCCCCAGAAGCCTCAGAGCTACAAAATAGAATAATAGACCAAGTCTTATGGCTCCATCCCCTGCCTCAAGCCTTTTTCTTATTCTCAGGGCTCTATTTTTCCTTTTCTCATTCCAGATTCCTGGTTGCATTTATGTCCCTCACCACCCAACCCCAAATCATTCCCCAGACACAATAGTCTAGCAAGGCCCTAAATGAGGCTGGGTTGTATTTTGTTCCATGAATCTGTCCTAAAGTTTTCTGTGTTTTCCTTAGTTCCTTCCCAGTTCCCATAGTTATAGATCAAACCTTCTTTAGACGCATCCAGCAAGCTCTTACAAATGCATAAGCCTGAGAGTTACTGAAGCAGGGCCCAAGAATCTTTTTAATTTTATTCCCCTAACCCCTGGTGATTCTGAAGTAAATATAGACTAAATTTGGGGAACTTGAAGTCTCACTTAAAGGAGGGTGCAGAATGTTCAGTTGGAAGTCATTAACATAGGAGGATCTGAAACAGAATCACATAGCAGTCGTTCTCAATCCAGCTGTACACTGGAATCACGTCGAAAGTTAAATAAAACACCAAACTGATGCCTGTGTCTTCTATCCCAGGGGTTCTGACATACATGCTGGGTTGGGCATCAGGATTGTGAAAACCTCCCTATTGATTTTAACTAACAGAACCACTCCCTCAAGGGAAAGATGAACACTTGATAGTGAAATCTCACGTGAGGATACACAAGGAAGCACATTGTTAACTCCTTCTTCCTTTTTCTCTAGAGACTTCTGGGAAGGAGCCCACCTGGAACTTCTGGAAGTACCTGGTGGCCCCCGACGGGAAGGTAGCAGGAGCTTGGGATCCAACTGTGTCCGTGGAGGAGATCAAACCTCAGATCAGAGCGCTTGTGAGGAAGCTCATACTGCGGAAGCGAGAAGATTTATAACCACTTTCCCTCCTCTCTCTCTGTCCTCAACCTGCCCCACCTTTGCACAGGGGACCAAAGCAAACTCAAATGGTGCTTCTAAGGGAGAGACTTCTGACTTCTCCCTTCTTCTACTCTTCCCCAAGCTATACCGTTCCTCCTGTGGGGGAAAAAGTCTAGGAATTTTATTCTTTGAATCTTAGGTAACCATTAAAAATTCCTAGCTTTTGAGTGCTCTTGTGCAATAATAACACAAATGTCTAGCAAATGAAAACATGGTAAAAAGAAGTGTATCAAGCAATAATCTCCTAAGCAATGAAAACGCTCTAAGATGGAGCCAATTCTTACTCACAGGACTGTCGTGAGTGTTGAAATAACCTGTGAAAGTGCCTAGGCAGTGTTAGTTAGATACAAGGCATTTTAATAAATGGGTTTTTTGCATATAACCAAAAAAACCTTGTGATTTATAAATACTTGTACTTAACATGTTTTCTAGACAATGTGAATTTAGAGCCAACATTTTGTTGTTGTAGTTGTTGTCCACTTTACTATTAAAGTGTCCTGGAGTATTAGTGATTAGTGATAATATAGAAGCAATGCAAACTCATTATAAAAATCCAAGTAGTTCAAGATGATCTAAAATTAAAGTATCTCTCTTATTTCTTATACTCTCACTCTAAACGTAAATGCTGTTAGCAATTTAGTACTTCCAGCCCTTCTAGCCCTTTTCCTGCCAGGCCAGTAATTAGTGCCTAATAAGAATTTATTGCTCAAAAGAACACTAAAGTCACAAACAGGCAAAGACTATGAATAGACAATTCACAGAAGAGTGATGTTGTTAGGTGCCTCTGAGTCACTTCCAACTTACAGTGAACCTATATGTATAATAGGATGAAATCTTGCCCAATCCTGCACAGTCTTCACAATCTTTGCTTTGCTGTAGTCCATTGTTGCAATCACTATGTCAGTCTGTCTCATTGAAGGTCTTCTTTTTTTCATTGACCTTCTACTCTTCCTAACATGATGTCCGTCTCCAGATACTGACCCTTCCTGATAACATACCCAGGTATGTGAGATGAAATCTCACCATCCTTTGCTTCTGAGAAACCCTCTGGCTTTACTGCTTCCAAAACAGATTTGTTTTATCTTTTGGTAGTCCATGGCATATTCAGTATTCTTCTGCAATACCACAACTTCTCCAGTCTTCTTTATTCACTGTCCAACTTTCACATGCATATGAAGCAACTGAAAATACCATGACTTGGGTATAATTGATGCCAATAAACATATGGAAAAAATGTTAGACTTCATTTAAATTGGAAGAGTTGTTAAAATGAGAATCTCCATCCTAGTAAAGATGTCAGAAGAAGGGCATTCTCATATATACTCTTGAAAGGACAATAAACTGGTATAGGAGTTTTTTTGAGGATAGCTATGGCCCAGTAGATTAAAAGTGGATCTTAAATAAAAGGCTGCTCAATGGGAGAAAGATGGGAGAAGCTGTTTTTCATGAAGATTTATAGTCTTGAAAACCCTATGAGGCAATTCTACTTTGCCCAAAACATTTTGCAGGGTGATTTGGCAATATAATTTAAAACAAAATGTTCTTATCCTCTGAGCTATAATTGTCCCTTCTAGAAGCCTTCCAAACTGTGCAAATATAAATATACAATATTATGTATGCACATTGTTGACAGAAGTGAACATCTGGTGCAACCCTTATGACATATTGATAATGTGTCTTGTAATAATTATGATATATAATCAAATTATAAATTAATAAAACTATTAAAATTCATTTATTCATTCATTCTCAGTGTACTACTAAGGTGGAAAGTTATCTAAAAGTGAAAAAGGGGCAATTGTGAAAGAATGAACAAATATAGTAATATTTTACTGAAATTTGCGATAACAATGTTAAGTGGGCTAGAGAATAGAGGATTATAGACCACACTGTTGATGGTGGTTGTCCTTGAGGAGTGCAGTGGAATAAAAGATGTCATTCGGTTTTTTTATTATGTTTTTGTATAAAAATGTATATTTTACTTTTCAAAAAATTGAAAAGAAATTGTTATAAATGGAGGGAGTAGGCAAAGCCCATTGACTGACAATTCAGTGTGGTACAGTTCTGTCTCCCTTAGTGGTCTTCCTAAGCTACCTGAAATTTTGTAAAGCCTGGCTGTGGCTACCCTATTCTACTATAATGGCATTCAGCCTGTCTTTCCACACCATATTCCAGGCTCCATGGGCATTTGTGCATGGGTGGCACACATACAATCAAACAACAAATTACAAAGTTTTTCATGCTGGACATCTGGGAGCCACATTGCCTGGCAACTGCCTTTATCTCCTTATACCCACTGTCTCCATCTTCTCACCTTCACTTACTCCTCACCTCACTGTACTCACCAAGGCTATACCGAATCTTCTACCTATACTAGACTCCCCCCTGCCTACCTACTAGGCATCTTTATAGACACGAATTCACCAGCAGCTCCAAGGAAGAAAGACGAGGAGTCTCATCTCATGTAATTTACAGCCTCTGAAAATCCCCTGAAGAGTCAGTTCCAACTCGACTGCAATGACCTTTGAGTTTTAGCCTGCTTGACCTCCTAACCAAATCTTGTTGTTGTTGTTGTTAAGTGCCGTCAAGTTAGAGGCAACTCATAGTGACCCTATGAATGAAAGACCTGGACACCTGTATAACTTTTGTCCTTTCTCCAGGTTCATAGGGTTTCATTATGTCCTTCTGGTGTATTCCCTCTCTTTGGGTTTCATGCCATCTTGTTCTTTCAGAATTCTTACCTCCGTGGCTACGGAGCCCTGGAAGCACAATGGCTACATGCTCACCTGTTATAGGATTCTAACCTAACCTGCCAGCCCCTCTATGGGAGAAAGACCTTAAAAACAAAAACCAACCCAAAAATATATCAGCTCATTGCTGTTGGGTTGGAACTGACTGATAGCTGGTTTTTCAGAGACTGTAAACCTAAATTGCAGGGAATAGATTGCCTATCTTTCTCCCTCAGAGCAGCTGGTGGATTGGAACCACGAGCCTATGGGTTGGCAGTGCAGCTCTTTACATATGGCTACCAGAGTTATCTCAGAGGGTCATGATGACTCAGAATTGTCTCAATAGCTCCTAACAACATCACCTCTAAGACTGCTCCTTATTTCTCTTTTTTTATGGATATTCCTCTTTTATTCACACATTCAGTGTTAGTGCTAGGCAAGTTCTTCTTACTACTTCCTCAGCTACCTCATTTACTCTTGTCGTTTTGACAAACATCTACACCCTGATAACCCCCAGATTTCTGTTTTGTATGTACCCCACTCACTACTGCCTACATACTAGGCATCTTTATGGACACCTTAAATTTAACATTTCCAGAATCAAACTGTATCTGACATCTGCTTCCCCTTTTACTCAGCCCTCAAGAACCCACGAGGTTTTCCCTTTTCATGAACCACTTCTTCATTTGCCAAGCCATTGCTTATGCAGCTGTCTCCTCAGAAATGCCTTGACCTAAACTGAATTACATAAAATGACCTAAACGGAATTACATAAAATCCATTTCAAGCATGAGCAACATGCCATCAACAAGTTGAAATTGACTTATAGATGACCCTTCAGTGAGTTTCCGTAAACTGAATTGCACAGGAGGAGATGATCTTTATTCTAAGGAGCTAATAGTGGATTTGAATCACAAAAGAGGTGCCACCTTTGGGTTAACAGCAGAAATCTCTATGGACTTCACCACCAGAGCCCTCTAGACCTTATCTGTTGTGGTGGTGGTGGTGGTACCATCAAGTTGGAACCAACTCATACAAAGCTGGCCAATCCAGGTTTTCAGAGGCAGTAAATTGCATCAGAGGTTTTCCATCTTTCTCCAGTGGAGCAGCTGATGGATTTGAATCATAGCCCTTTGGAATCACAGCACAGCTTTTTACCACCAGGCCAATAGAGCTCAGTAATGTTTCACATTATTCCCAGTTTATCTAGAGAATGAAAATAAGCAAACACATTTTCTCTCAGAAGCCTAAAGCCCAGCTGATGCTTTTAAACTCCCAATTAAGCTTGGATTCCTATGCTGGAGTTGATGGTACCAGTTGAGATACTTCAGACAACAGACCAAACCCTGGGTGTGCTCACTGTCTATGCCAAGAAATTTGGAAGACAGCTACCAGCCAACTGACTGGAAGAGATCCATATCTATTCCTACTCCCCAAGAAAGTGATTCAAAAGAATATGGACATTTTCAAACAACATCATTACTATCAGGCAAGGTTGTGTCATCTATGTAAACAGGTTATTGATGAGTCTTCCTCTAATCCTGATGCCACATTCCTCATAAAGTCCAGCCTTCTGAATGACCTGTTCTTCATATACATTGAAAAGTTATGGTGTACACAAAAAATCAACTCAAGGTGGAGCAGCGGCCTGAGAGTAAAGCCCCATACCATAAAGTTTATCAGAGACAACCTGGGATCAAGTTTAGACAACCACTCTATGGTAAAGGGACAGCCAAATACAGTGAGAAATGCACAATCTGGAGAGGATAAAATAGATGAATGGGAACTTCTAAAGATTAAATCTTTGTGTGCATAAAAACCTTTTCCCAACAGAATGAAAAAAAAATCTACTGATTCAGAAAAAAAAAAATTGGCAATACCATTTCACACAAGGGTCTCACATCAAAAGTTTACAGAATCCTATGTGGAAATAATTTTCACACAGGAAGATAATTCAAATGGTCAGCAGACAACATGAAGAAATGCTCAAAATCACTGGCAATAAAGAGATGCAAATCAAATCCACAATGAGATATCATTTTACCCCAGTGGCAGTGGCAAGGTTTAACAGGGCAGCAAGTAATAGATGTTGGAGAGAATGTGGAGAGATAGGAACTCTTAAACATACTTGGTAGGATTGTAAAATGGTACAACTACTCTGGAATGCCATTTGGCATTTCCTCAGAAAGCTGAACATAGGAATTCCATATGACCCAGCTATTCCATTG